ATACTTAACTAAGGCCTAGTGACTTAAATGCTAATCTCATTTGAAAATACCCTTGGAGAAATATTTTAAGTGTTTGGTCAAATATCTTATTACTGTATAGCCACCCAATTTGACATAAAAAACCATCAGGTTTAGATCTCATTACAAATGTAGATTTAAAAAAAATGCCACTCCCCTTCCAAACCACAGGAATCACGTGTTCTTACCACATGACCACATTTTTTTGACATAGGTTAAGATGCTAAGAAGCCCTGGGCATTTTCTCTCCACCTCACTTTTTTTGGGGGGTCCATTATACACTTTGCCTGTGTTTGCCCCTTCCCAACAGCTCCATGTTTAACAGGAACATTTTTTTAACTTCAGTAGCATCACTGAGTCTTAGTGAGTATGGGTAGTGGATTTGGGGTAGCGTTCTCACCCAGTGACTAATTGTGCCTCTTTTGCACTCTACCATATGAAATGGATTTGCTGCGGGTCCCTGGCAGCTTGCTGTGGAAAGCAGCTAGTCCCAGGAAGGGACTGCCCATGAGGTGGCTGGTCCCAAGCAAACCTTGTGGATGGCTGGCTGGTTCCTGGAGGCAGACAGTGTGTCCTGGGATGGTGCAAGTCCCTGTCAGTGGGCAGCAGGAGCAGCCGGTCCTAGGCAGGGGCTGTGCATGAGGCCACGCTGGCAGGTCTCCAAAGGTGGCTGGTCCCCTGCCAGGCAGGGACCACACAGGAGACCACAAGACCACGCGGCAGGACTCCAAGTGGTGGTGGGGGGTGGGCAAGAGAGATATCAATAGGCACACCATACAGAGTGGAGTTGGACATTTATTTAGGGGTTATGGAAGGGAAGGGAGAAGGGCAGAAAGGGGGAGGGGGAAGAGAGAGAGTGAGAGAGAGTGAGAGAGAGAGTGAGCCAGAGCCAGAAAAAAGAGTAGAGAGAGACAGAAGTGGGGGAAGGGGAGAAGTGGGGAGAGAGGCAGAAGTTGCCTCTCCGAGAGAGAAAGATAGAAAAGAGAGAGGGCTCAGGCCGGAAGCTGAAGATCAGCCTGCCTCAGCATATGGGGGAGGGAGTGGGCGTGGATTGTTTCTTAAAGAGCCAGAACAATCATAACACCATATTTTTGTAATTGCATCAGCTGTTCATAGGCCATGGGGGGGGTCCTTCATGGCCTCTTGTAGAAGGAAGCTACGGGCTGCGTTCCTGGTGCCCGGCCACCCAGCTCTGCATGGCTAGCTTTACCCGAAATAATTACACAGAAACTGTATTCTTTTAAACACTGCCTGGCCCATTAGTTCCAGCCTCTTATTGGCTAATTCTCACATCTTGCCTTAACCCATATTAAATAATCTGTGTAGCACCACAAGGTGTGTCTTACCAGGAAAGGTCTTAACCTGCGTCTGTGTCAGCTGGGAGAATCATGGCAACTGACTAACTTGGCTTCTTTCTCCCAGCATTCTGTTCTGTTTACTCCGCCTACCTAATTTTCTGTCCTATTAAAGGCCAAGCAGTTTTATTTATTAATTAACCAATGAAACAACAGATAGAAAGATGACCCTCCTCCATCAGCCTCTCACTCCATGAAGGGGTTAGGTTACTGTGGGTCTTTGGGGAAGGACACTGGAGTATAAAGACAGGAGTTCTTCCTAGGCCCCCGGATGTCAGAGCCACTGCAGGGTGGCTGTGAAGAGTCACGAGTATTGTTTGACAGGAGCACATTGTCAAGGTCTCCAGTGCTTTAGACCCATGGGAGTGGAGAACACTATTCCAGGTGAGGCTCAGAGGGGTGGCAAAGCCTTCATTTGGTCTGAGTGTGGCTGTTGATAGTGTGTGCAGAAAATGTCCACTGTAGCTTTCTTCCCCTGATACTTATAGCCTGGACTGCTAACCTGTAGAATGTTCCTAGAGAATTTAGCTAGTCCTGACTCCTTGTTCAATTGTATACAATAACTCTCCATCCTTATTTATCTCTGACTGCCTGTTAAATTATATATAATACACACACTGAAATTCCAGAGTTCTGAGTATTCTCCATCAGTGGATCCCAGTCCAGCCAATCACAGCTTTTCTATGTCCATAGCTATCCTTGCTTCATTCCCTCACTGCCTCTAGTCTGGTATCCAAGCTGTGTAAGGACACAGAATGCAGATGTTCACTAACCATCTGTTCCCCCCCTTTCCTTAAGGAATCCTGGGAGTAGGAAAGGTCACAGCAGCCACTGAATTGGATCCAGGTCCTTGTGGAACTTCTGGTGACCTTTGTAGATCCCTGCAGAACCCCTTACTAAAGAAGAGGAAGGCCTTATTGGAATAGTCAGTTTGTCCTCAAAATCAAACAGGAGTTATGGGGGTGGAAAGGAGGAAGGGGACAGGGAGTCCAGCCTCATTAGAGGGAGGAACTGGGGACTTCCAGGGAAACAGGCAGGACCTGGAGGCAACTGACTGGACATTCCAGGGTCTCCAGTCTTCTAGACAGGACTGCTGGAGAATTATGAATATGCTTTGTTGTGATGGTGAGGGGCTTCAGGGAATCACTGTGAGATCAAAAGCCTTTCTAAATCTAAATCGAAGACCCACTTGGCTGCCAGTGCACCCTCCTAAGCTTGCATGGTTGGTTACATTTTGGGTGGAAGTTGGACTACTGAGGACTGATATAGCAGTATCAAACATTCCATGGTTTATGTTTGAAGTTTGTGCTCTTGGACATGGTTGCCAAGTGGACAAAGTACACATCCAGCCCATTGGCTTTGTACAGAGCAGGGCTTACCATCACAAGGGTCAGGGTATGGAGGCAAATTCTGTGATCATTGTGGGAATGATCCATTAAAGCCTTCTATGAAATCAAATAGGACAAATGGACTCCATATTTGCAAAGACAGCAATTGTGTAGTACTGAGCGGGGCATAAGCATGTGTGTGTGTGTGTGTGTGTGTGTGTGAGAGAGAGAGAGAGAGAGAGAGAGAGAGAGAGAGAGAGAGAGAGAGAGAGGAGAGCCCACGAAGCAATGAAACTGTGGGAACTGATGGAAAGGTGAGGGGAACTGATTAGGTCATGCCATGAATTCCATGGTCACCGTTCAGAAGGGGACATCAAGCAGCTCAGAGACCCTGAAGTAAGCTCGATGATGTGATCGCTCCATCTCCTGTAGGATCATTTCTATTTCTTACAAGGAGACTAACACACGTGCAATGGGATTGTGGTTCCTATATGATATGGCTGAGAACTGGGTTACAGAAACTTGTGTCTGACCACTGAGTTCTTCCACGTAAGAACAAAGTCGATGCAATTAAAAACTATCCCCTCAGTTCATATTTTCTTGAAATCCATGCTCTGTCACATAACTATGTAAATTCACATGAAACTGAAAAGTGTTAACTAGCAGGCACTTACAACAAGCACAATAAAGTACCAGCATATTGTACAAGTTGTCAGTGTGTAGGGCTGCATCTGTCATAATTTGCAGACTTGTAACTGGAAAATTCTGTACCTCTATTAATTGAATTTCAAAAAGTGCCTGTTTATTGCATAAAGCACAAGCATTACAGAAATGTTGGAAATCCATGAGACAGGCAACACATTTTGCAGAATTCTCATTTTTAACACCTGCCTAGAATTTGCCTAGAGGCAGTTTCTAATTGCCCCGCCCCCACTTTGTGAACAGTCTCACAGAACTGTTGAAAAAGTGAGGCTATGTGCCCTACTATTTGGTAGTGAAAACCAATGTGTGAAGGCCCTCTCTCAAGAACGTGGACATGGAGCACCCTATATCTTCTGTCTGAGCAATGCTTCTAAAGACAGGCCGACATTCCTGGTCTCCAGCAGGGGTTAATTTTTATAACACTCTTTCTATGGCTCCTTCCAGAATGCAAGGAAGCAGAAAGACAAGAAGGAAACATGGAGAGAGCTGTGAAAAGACCCACCTGCATATAAATCAAAACTTGAACGATGGTGCTGTGGAGCAGGCTTTCTTGGACTGCCAACTTCCAAATCATGCCACGAAGACTTATTATTAGTTATGAATGCTCGGTCTTATGCTTGTGCCACTATCTCTTTTAGCTTACTTTAACCTCTTTCACGTCATCTATGTTTTGCCTCAGTGCTTTTTACCTTTCTTTCACTCTGTATGTCCTACTCCATATCTGGTTGGCTGGCAGCTGACTGGCTGGCTGACCCAAGATGTCTCTTATTTCTCCCTCCTCTCCTTCTTTCTTCCTTCCTCCTACTTATTCTCTCTGCCTGCCAACCCCAGCTATTCCTCTACTGCCTAGCTATTGGCCATTCAGCTTATTAGACCAATCAAGCACCTAAGACAGGCAAAGCAACTCATCTTTAGATCATTAAATGCAGTATAAATATAAATATAACAATCTTTGCTTTGTTAAACACATGCAGCATAAACAAATGCAACAATTATTTGCTTAGCTAAAAGGATATCCCCTAACAGTGAGACCATGAAAACATTCAAATGTCCAGAAAGGAAATGTAAACTATGTACCCTCTTACCAACTTTCCCTCCTACACAGCCTCACTAGCCTGGAAGCAACTCTTTGAAACCCTGGTCACACATGATGCTTCTACAGGCCTCCAAGTAGAGCATGTGGCAGAGACCCTGGACTCCAGAGCTGAATCACCGCAAGTCATATGTACCCTTTGCATGCAGATTTATTCACAAATTATCCACTGAGGCAATCCTTATGGATCTGTTTAGGGCCAGCCAGAGGTGAAAATAGTAGAAGTTTGGGAACGAAGGTCCATTGGGTCCTAGCACCTCTGGCTCTTGGCTAAGGCTGGAGAAAAGCAATTCAGGATACAATGTGAAAAGCAAAGTAGTTCTTTATTATGAAAACAAACAGACAACTTCAGAGAAATATATAGAATGTGCCCCTGGAGGTGATTGTGTTACCTGGCACTCATGGGAAATTTGGATTTTTGGTCAGGTATGGGGAAAACATTAATAACAAACAAATACTGTGGATGAGGTAGAACACAATATCCATGGGAGTTCCTCAGGACATTTATTCGAAGAATTCCTTTGGAATTTTGCTCTCATTCTGCATGGAAAGAGTAAGAATTTCAGAGGATCCCTGAATTTGATCTCCAGGCTACCTAGACTCCATCTTGCTGAAGGCAAAGAAACATCCATCTTTTACCCACTTGATACCCAGTCCTAACCTGGAGCATAGTGAAGATCTCAGCAGCTTTGGCATAGTCCCACCCGTTGTCCTCAAGGCACCTGGAGTGACAGAAATAAGGTGATCAGCTCAATAGATTCAGAAAATGCCTTTGACAAAATCCAACATTACTTCCTGAGAAATGCCCTATGAAGAGTAGAAATCAAGGGAACATATATTAGCACAGAAAAGACTTTAAATAATAACCTTATAGCCAACATTATACTATGCATCTCTTTTCAATACAGTGTTTGAAATCTTACTTAGAATGGTAAAAAAAAAAGTAAAGGGGATACAATTAGGAAAGAAAAAAGGGAAAGCATCTTCTTATTTTTAGATGACATGATTCTATACTTAAGGATATACCTTAATTATTCAACTGCAAACTTATTTTAGAATTAATACTTTCAGCAAAGAGGTGAGATACCAAACCAACATTCTTAGTCTTTCAACATACCAATGACAAACAAACTGATAAAGAAATTATGGGAATAATTCCATTGACAATTGCTTCAAAAAAAACTTGGAATGTACCTAACTAAGGAAGTGAAATACCTGTACAATGAAAACTTAAAAACACTACAGAAAAAACAGAGGAAGAAATTAAAAACGATGTATAGACCCCCTATTCTTATAAATCATAAAAATAGTATTGTAAAATATCTATTCTACAAAACAATCTACCAATTCAATACAATCCTGCTAAAACTTGCAACTATTATTTACAGAAATAGGAAAGGCAATCCAAAAATTCATATGGAAACACAAAAGCATCTGCATAGCTAAAGCAATTCTGAACAATAAGAATACTGTTAGAGGTATTACCACACTTGACCTCAAGTTATAGTAAAACAATCATAGGAATAAAAACATCAGGGTATTGACACAGATATAAACCATGCAGCTATAGTCACCTGATTTTTAGTAAAGCTAAAAAAATATAGATAGAGAAAAAAACACTTTCTTCAACAAATGATCAAAATCCAGAAAATCTGCATATCCATCTGTAGGAGAATAGAACCAGATTCTTCTCTCTCTCTCTGCATAAAAATCAACTCCAAAGGGTCTTGACATATAACCTAAAATCCTGTACCTTCTAGAAGAAAAATCATCAGTTTACTACAGGATATAGGTATGGGCATAAGGACTCCTGAATGTGACTCCAGCAGCTCACCAGCAATTAACAAATGGAACTTCATAAAACTAAGTTTCTATAGAGAAAGAAAACTGCCAAATGAGTGAAGAGGCAGCCTATAGAAAAGGAGAAAAGATTTGTTAGCTATATATCTGATAAAGGATTAGTAACAAAAATGAAACTATAAATTCTGTATGTTCCTGCTATACTACCCCTAAGCATAACAAAGAACTCTATGCCCTACAACAGAGATGCCTGTATTTCCTTGTTCATAAGAGCTCTGTTCACTAGCTAGGCAATAGAACCATCCTGGATGTGTCCACTTACTGATAATGAAAATGTGGCACATATGTACAGTGGTATTTGGATGTAGAAGATGGCTGTGACCCAAGCCCAGAAAGACAAATTCTGTATGTTTTCTTTCCTAGGTTTGAATTTAGATTTCTGTACTTAACTTTGAGTGCCTATAGAAAGCAGAAAGACAAAAAAAGAGCCGTGCAGGGGCACAAAATGTGGAGATAGCAAAACACATATGAGGGTAGAAGGGAATGCTGGCTATGAAAAGCTTAAATGGGGTTGGGGTATGGCTATGGGGAAAATACAGGTAGGAAATTAATGAAAACTAATGATACAAGGAAAACACATAGCAATCTAATATTTTATAAACTAAAAATACAATTTAAAATGTTTTTAAATGTTTTATATTGACATATTATGTATAGGAGTATTTTGCCTGCATGTATGCATGCATATTATGAACATGCCTCATGCCTAAGGAGTCCAGAAGAGGGCATCTTATTCCCTGGATTAGAATTTGGCATCAGCAGCAGAAAAAAATCGCTGCGCCATTTTAAAGCATGGCTTCCTGGGGCTGTGCTGCCAGCGTGAACTCTGGCTTTAAAGCATTTCAATGGATTTTATGGGACTGGATGTTTGTGTTCCCGCTTGGGATCGGAAGGAGAGTGCTCTGAGACCATGCAGATGGCTCAGTGCTCCAGGCCTGCACCTGGGCAGACTGCAGAATCAGGCTTAGGCAGGCAGAAGAGCAAGGCGGATTCCTGCCGCCATACAGAGACATGTTTTCAGACTGTGCAGTGCTCTGCGTGTCAGATTTGGCTGTAACTTGGATAAAAGAAATTTGTGTGCTGCACGCTCAGTCTCAAAATTAAAGTGCTGAGTGCCGCTCCTACCTGGCGGCCCCAGAGCTAGCACAAAATGGTACATCCTCCATTTTGAAATTTTCCTGACTCAGCAGCAGGAAAAAACTGGCTGTTTTAAAATGCCGGCTTTCTGGGCTGTGCCGCCATTGCGATCTCTGTCTGGCTCCTGCGAGAGACAGAGCTTTTGAATGGAGCTTTTGGAGTAAAGCTCTACAGCTTGCTTGATGGCAATGTGGCCTGCTGTGTGCCTGGAACTGTGTGTGGCTCAGGGGCACCAAATGGCTCTGAGGCAGGAGCGGCTTGGCTCAGCTCTGCCACGCTGAACTGTGCTGGTCTCAGGCAGGAACTACTGTAATTACCGTAAAAACAGCGCAGACACAGGTGGTACCGTATTACTTGTACATGGTGCAACTTAAGTTTTTAAGAACTGCTTAACATTTTAAGAAATGCTCCTGGATAGTAAAAAAAAAAAATTACGGATTCACAATACGACAGATTCAGACACTGTTGGATGAATGTACGTAGGCTTGGGAGAGAGAAGAAAAAGAATATAAAGAATAAAGTTAATGTCTTAAAAAATAGGGTAAAGTCTTTAAAGAGAGAGTACAGATAGTTAAGAGATTAAAAGATATAAAGAAAAATAAGCCATGTAAAAATGGAAAATTCACAGAGAGTCTGGATTATGTACATTGTGTTTTCTTTAAAAATTTTGACTGTGAAGGAGCTAAGTACAGAGAGGCATTTCATTACATGGGCTGCCAAGCTAAACCAGAATGGATAAAAGGATATTACGATTTCAAAATTTGGGTCTAAGGATATGATGCTTTGGAGCAGGTCTTCTTTTGTTTTCACAGAGGACCAGACCCTGTGGATTGATTCTATCCCAATATGGTATGATAGACCACAACCTCCCGAAAAGTTGCTGTGAACACCCTCAAAAAATTACTTCATTCAACTGCCAACTGAGATAAACCTGGCACACAGGTTACACCCTAAATGATCTGATTAACAGCGCCCCCATTCAGCAGGAAGCAGTTTGGAGAGAAAAAACTGCGCCCATGTTCCCAAAATATTATTTATAAATGCTCTTTTACATTTAAATGGGGAAATGATATAGGTATGAATAATTTGCATTGGTATGGATTTTAAGGTCAATTTTGTTATATGTATATGTATTTTTGCTCTTGATTAAGGTATTGTGATTGTGTAGTTCATTTTTAAAATGTAACATATAATTAGGAAATGTAGGTTGTTAATGGATAATCATCAATAATAATCAAACTTGTAATCATGTTAGTTGGCTTTTCTAGATGTATAAAGATATATTTCAGTTAGATAGGCATTCTTCATATCTTTCAAAGACTGCAGAAAATGGCATTTAATGTTTTAATAACTGAGGACTTTTCATGACAATGAGACACATCTGCTCCTGGCAGCACCAGCTAATTCAAGAGGAAGATGGGCATTGAAGAGGCTCCTTATGGAGCTTGATAGCCATTTGGGCAAGAAACTGCTCTTGCCTGGACTGTTGCATAAACTGGTCACAGAGAACCCACAGAGAGAGGACTGCTGAACTTGCCTAAAGGTGAGATGGTCTTTCGGGGTTCCTGCTTCATGAAAGAGTCTGCGAGACATTCTGCAGGACACAGCATAAAATGACTAAACTGTCTTTAAAATTTCCTGCTTCATGGATACTATGGGCCTGAAGGCTGAAGATGGATGCCCCAACGGTACAGAGGAACTTTGGGTGATTGTCCAGGCAGCGAGATGTCTCTGTCATTTCTAGAGTTTTGGACCTCTTATTTGCTTAGGTAATATTATATCCTTCTGGAGTCTTTGATGAAGTTGAAGAATGGATAGTTATAGTTTTCCTTAGTTATGATAAAGGATAAAATAGATATAAATACTGTAACTGTAATTCTTGCTTGATAACTGTTTTGTTATATGTAATTTTGCTATGTTAAAGTTAAAGCCTTTCCTTTTTGTTTAAACAGAAAAAGGTGAAATGATGGAGGAAGGTCATTGGTTAAGTAATAAAGAAACTGCTTGGCCTCATAGGTTAAAACATAGGTGAGAGGAGTAAACAGAACAGAATGCTGGGAGGAAGAGGAAGTGAGCTCAGAGACACCATGCTCCCCTCTCCCAGGCAGACGTGATAGCTCTGCTCTCTGAGGCAGACGGTGATGCAGCCAGCCACCAGGTCAGACATGCTGAATCTTTCCTGGTAAGCGCACCTCGTGGTGCTACATAGATTATTAGAAATGAGTTAAGAGGCTGAAACTAATGGGCCAGACAGTGTTTAAAAGAATACAGTTTGTGTGTTGTTATTTCGGGCTATAAGCTAGCCAGGCGGCTGGGGTGCCTGGGACGCAGCCCCGCCACTCCTATTACAACACATAGGTAATATTATATCCTTCTGAAGTCTTTGATAGAGTTGAAGAATAGATAGTTACAGTTTTCCATTGTTATGATAAAAGATAAAATAGATCTAAATATTCTAACTGTAATTCTTGCTTGATAACTGTCTTGTTATATAATTTTACTATGTTAAAGTTAAAGCCTTCCTTCTTGTTTACACAGAAAAAGGGGAAATGGTGTAGGAGGTTCTTCTGTCTATCTGTCTATGTGTTGCTTTCATTTGGTGAATAAAGGAACTGCCTTGGCCTTTCTATAGGGCAGCACTTAGGTAGGCGGGGAGTCAGAACTGAATTCTGTGAGGAAGAAAGAGAGTCAGAGAGAGAGAGCAACCATGAAGCTGCCAGGTCAGACATGCTGAATCTTTCTGGGTAAGCCACGACCTCGTGGTAACATACAAATTATTAGAAATGGGTTGAATCAAGATGTGAGAGTTAGCCAACAAGAGGCTAGAGCTTATGGGCCAAGAAGTAATTTAATTAATACAATTTCTGTGTGATTATTTCGGGTGTAAGCTAGCCAGGTGGGACGGAATGAAGGGGCCCTACACTCCTCACAACAGGTTATAAGACACAGGGAATTGAAGATGCATTGCAACTGGCAGTTCCCCTCCTGCTGGCTGCCATTCATAACTGCCAGAAGCTGAAAGGTAGATTGCTGGAGAAGAAAACTGGCCAATGGTCTCATCTAGCTGTAGACCATACGTGCTACAATATCAGCCTGCTGGATAGGATATGCCCACAATGCAACAGTGGCATGGATATTTTGGGCATGAACAACTGTTCTGTGATTGGACTTGAAGTACACTTCATGTGAGGGAACACATATCTGATACTATAAACCTAGTCAAAGTTTATGGTTGAAGGCCCAAGGGGAGAATACATTAATTTCTTTACATGTTATCCAGCTACTTTTTAAGCATTTTTAAATACTTATTGACTAATATGTCTCTCAGGCTGGGGCAAAAGGTAATGGTTTAGACTTCTATCTGGTTAAAATGATAATGAGAGACTGACGAGCATCCAACCTTAAACAGAGCCTAAATCAAATCTCTGTCCCCTTAACAGAAAGTTTAAGAATGAAAGGATGAAAAAAAGTATCTTGAACTATTGTGTTCTGGATAGTTGTATGTCAACTTGCTACAAGCTAAAGTCATTTGAGAGGAGGGAATCTCAATTAAGAAAACATCTCCACAGCCAGGCGGTAGTAGCATATGTCTTTAATCCCAGCACTTGGGAGGCAGAGACAGGTGGATCTCTGTGAATTCGAGGCCAGCCTGGTCTTTGAGAGCTACTTCCAGGACAAGCTCCAAAGCAACACTGAGAAACCCTGTCTTGAAAAACCAAAAAAAAAAAAAAAAAAAAAAAAAAGCTCTCGGACCAGTTAGCCTCAGTGGTGAGCAATGCATCCGTGGCCAAGATTAAGGTTCAGGACCTGCGTGGCAAGAAGGAGGAGGAACGGCTAAAACAACTGGACGATTTGAAGGTGACAGGTGGCGCCGCTTCCAAGCTCTCCAAGATAAGAGTTGTCCACAAATCCATCGCCTGTGTTCTCACCGTCATTAACCAGACTCGAAAGGAAAACCTCAGGAAGTTCTACAAGGGCAAGAAGTACAAGCCTCTGGACCTGCGACCCAAGAAAACTAGAGCCGTGCGCCGCTGGTTCACCCAGCACGAGGAGAAGCTGAAGACAAAGAAGCAGCAGCGGAAGGAGGGGCTGTACCCCTACACAAGCATGCGGTCAAGGCCTAATGGAAGGGCAATAAAGTGCAAGACTGGCAAAAAAAAGAAAAACCAAAAAAAAAAGTCTCTACAAGACTGGATTGCTGTGGAGTGTTTTCTTAATTAGTGATTGGTAGGGAGGGCCCAGCCCATTGTGGGTGGTGCCATCCCTGGGCCGGTAGTCCAGGGTTCTATAAGAAGGAGGACTGAGCAAGACTTGGAGAGCAAGCCAGTAAGCAGTACCCCTCCATGGCCTTGGCACCAGCCCCTGCCTCCAAGTTTCTGCTCTCTTTGAGTCCCTGTCCTGATTTCCTTCAATGATGGACTACATTGCGGAAGTGTAAGTCAAATAAAACTGGTTCCTCCCCAACTTGCTTTATGATCATGGTGTTTGGTCAGGGCAGCACTAGAAACCCTAAGTCATCCTGCTATCCAGCTATAACATGGCCATTGCAACCATGAACAAGTAGAAGCTATGGAGAGTTGCATAAGATTGGGCCCTCTGCTTTCTATCATGGGTAGAGGAGGTGCCCCTAAGTTCCAGGGTGTTAATGACTGTTAATGTTTGGTGAAAGAATGGGTGCCATTTTCTCTAATAGTGTAGCCATTACTATTAAAAGGGGGGAAAGTTTCAGAGGGAAAGGAGGGGGGAATGCCAGACAATAATGGGGTGAATATAATCACACTTATTTTATTAAAGTGTCAAAAATAATGGAAAATTTTGAAAAATGAGTTGAGAAATTCAAACTAGAACTAAGCAAAATAATAAAATTATTACATGAATCCTCAAATAAAAAACCATAGACTTCTGAGTTCTCCACAACCTCAGTCTGATCTTCCATTTCATTGATTAAAGCCATTTCCCAACTACTACTGAGCTGAACTCTTTCTCTCAACTTGGGTCTCATAATATTCACTTTACATATTTGAGGGACTTCAGCATTGGATGTATGTATTTATGACTGCGTTATGTTACTTTCTTTTATTCAACTCATTCCTTGTATAACGACTTCCCTTATACTTTAATTTTTGTTTTTGATTTAAAGTTTATTTTCTTGGATGATAGTGTCTAATCTCACTTTTTTGGTTTTCATAAATACAATAATCTATTCCTTCACTTGGTGCTGATAAATGTACTTAGAGGTAGAGGGTATTTCTTGTAAGCAATGATAATTGGGTCTTTATTAAATCAATTCAATTATTCCATGTCTTTTTATTGGAGGATCATACCCATTTGCAGTTATGGTAATTACTGATAGGTAACTTCTTGATACATTTATACGTTTTTATAAGCAGTTTTATTGTAGCTGCTTTCTTTCTCCTTCTCTTATAGTCTTTCTTGGTAGTTAAATGACTTACTCTAATAGGAGGTTTTCCATCCCATTTACTTAATAGTTTGGTTTGATCTGTTATATATTTTTGCTCTTTTAGATATCACAAGGATTACAAATACATATTTAATTACAATGGGGTATTCTGAAATATATTAGCACATTCATGGAGATAAGATTATAAATAAAGGATAAAATAGAAAATACACTCCATGATGATATTCACTAGTTACCTTCCATGTCTTCTGTGGTGGCTTGAATGAGAATGGCCCTCATATCTCACATATTTGACTGCTTAGTCACCAGGAAATAGAAGTGTTTCAAAGAATTAGGAGGAGTAGGCAGTGTGACCTTGTTGAAGTAGGTGTGGCCTTGTTGGAGTAGGTGTGGCCTCATTGCAAGAATTATGCCACTGAGTGTGGGCTTTGAGGTTTCAGAAGCCCATGACAGGCATGGGCATATTCTCTGTCTCTGACAGGATGTAGCTCTCAGCTACTTCTCCAGTGCCTGCCTGTATGCCACCATGTTCCCTGCCATGATAATAATGGACTAAGCCTCTGAAACTGCCAGCAAGTAGCCAGATAAATGCTCTATTTTATGAATTTCCTTTGTCATGGTGTCTCTTTACAGAAATCAAACAGTGACTTAACTAAGACATATCCTTATACTTTGAGTTTTTATATCTTACTTTACAGCTTTCTGTATTATTGACTTTAGGTCATTAATTATTTTTGTTTTAATTTTTTTTCATAATAAAGGTATTTGTTCCTCTTTATTTTTCTTCAAATGAGAATTTTTCTCAATTTTACTTTGGGATATTTAATGTTAATACACAGAAATGCAAATAATTATTGCATATATTAATCTTAGATCCTAAAATCTTCACGAATTTGGTTTTTCACTTCTAATACTTTCTTAGTGGATTCCTTATGATTTTCCATATACAAGATATGAAACATGAATATTATAGTGTTTTAAAAGTCTTTAAATATATCAGTATACATTAGGACATACTTTCCTGAGCCCACTTTGGGGAAAGGAAGTAAATAACCTAATTATTTTTGAAATTGCCTACAAAGTGTCATTATTCACTTGATCTCCCACCCCACTCCACCCATTTCTTTGCACACCCAGCACTCACTTCTGAGCCCATGTAAGTTTCATTCTAGACTGCATAGAGAATGACTTCACCATTTCTTGCTGCTCTTCAGAAAGGGGAGAGTTGGCTGGGATAAAGGCATTCTGGATCTCCCTGGGGCTGGTATTCCTCACAATCAGCTTATCATTCATGATGCAAATTCTGGAGGAAAAATAGATAAGTAAAGAAATGGACATGGCTACATTACTAATGCTAATCCTATAATAACTGTCAATCACTAATTGAGAGGTTTCCACATTCCATCTATGCCTGATTCCTAAGATCCTTGTCTGTTTTTCTCTATCCACCCCATATAAAATTCAACTTTTAAAGGCTAGCTTGGCTAGATTTGTGAATTTAACTCCAAAGTATTTACCCTGCACAACAAAGGAGGGCCTTGAATCAGAGATAAGCCCAATGTCTTGGCCAATGACATAGCATGAAAGAACATAGTATTCTGATCCCAAGGCCCACACTTTCAACTAGCAAGTTAAACTGCTGGATCTACTTGTTGGTTTTCTACAATATTGAAAATGCTCTGAGAATTACACCATCATATTGTCACACCGCTAGCTTTGGGCAGGGACACGATTATCCAGAAGCAACATAGCACACTGACCTTGAATCGTTGTAATGGGTAGTGATGAAGATCCGTGTGAAGGCACGAATGTAGCCTTGATATTTCCCTTCCACTTCAAGGACAAAAAACAATAATGTTTTCTTAGAATAGCACCTTATTTACGTACTCACACAGCATTCCCAAGTCAGGTTCTTATGCTGAAGGGGCCAGGACCAGTCAGTTGCTGGCTCTGAGTCAGGAGGTTATGGCACGAATGAGGAGGGCAACAACAGTAATAATTTACTCCCATTTGATGTGCCCACTACCACATTTTGGACCCTGTGAAAATCCCTTCAAGTGTTTGATGGGTCTTTTTCCCATCTATTCACAGAGATGAGTTTAATTAGTCATGTGTTACAAACCAAGAACTGGAGATGTTAAGAAACTGGCCCAAAGCTATAGAATATGAAATTGGAATGAGCATCAACAAAGTCCATAGCCTGTGTCCCTTACCTGTGAACTATGAGGCAAAAAGGTATGGATTAGAGTCAATTAGGATGGTTTGCAGGCAACAGAACACGGAGGAGGACAGGAAGGAAAGGTGCAGAATGAAAGAATCTGGAAGACTTCTCAGAGGTATCCATGCAGGGGAGGAAGCAAAGGGGACCAAGACAAGAAATTCTACAGATACTCACCCTCCTTGAACAACCCATTGACAGAAAAGCAGATCATTGTCTCCTGAAAGGGAAGACGGAATAAGCTATGAGCTCAGGATCTACAAACCTTCAGCTTTCTGGGTATAACCTACAGAAGAACCAGGTACTCACCGTGTAGAAACACAAGTCCACCAAGAAAGAGCATAGATCATGCTGAGTTTTGGGTAACAAACTAAGAGAATCCACAATGGTGTGTTTTGTGTGCCTCAGCAACCTCATTCGCATGTCTACAGGGGAGTGAAGAAAAAAGATCACGGATATGATACAACCTGGCCATTGACACCCCCCAATTTTTCTCTTTACTCCCCTACGCTGCCCTGTCTTCTCCACCACACTTACAGGAATCTTGTATCTTCTTTATATCTCTGTTATGTTTGAAATACTCTTCCAGGTTGCTCCTAGGAGAAATGAGGAGCAGAACTCCATGTTCTACCCAATATAGGCATTTTCTGGGGAGAGGCATGCCACTCCACAACAGAGCCTGAGCTGTGATACTCACAGGTCTGGGTTATTGAAGTTGGAAGAAACAGTAAGGGAGAAGCAGGCTTCATCATGGTAAGCAGCGAGGAGACGAAATCGTTCTCCATTGTCATAAAACGAGTAGTATCTAGTAAGGGTAAAGAGAATAAGATAAGGGGACAGCTTATTTCTGTGGTCTGAACCCTAAGTGAGACATAAAATTTCCTATGGGCAAATGTGAAAAGGCAGTCCAGCATGGCTAAGCTTTTTCACCTGTCTTGTAGTCCAAGGTATACTTACTCCTTGAGAAACTGTAGTACTAGATTTTTTATGGGTTCAGTTTCTGTACATGTTTGCTGAAACAGAAAATCATTTCAGACTACAAATCTAATAAAGCCTCTTTTGCAACAGCACAAATCTTTCTTAGTCCTTTCTCACCTTGCTTAACTGTGGGACTTCTATGTCCATTCCTGTTGGTACTATTAGCTCCTTGCCGTCCTGGGGAAAGGAAGAGGAGGTTAGCAGTACATAGGGTAAATGGCACTGAATATCTAAGAAGACCCAGAAACCCAAAGGGAAGAAAAGGGCCAGAGGCAGGGTTTTCATTGCCCCTGGAAATTCCAGGGGTAATAAAATGAGCCTCTGTCTTATGGAGTTGTGGAAATCCCTATTTTATGGAACCTTTGTGTGTCTGTGTTGCTTATGAATACTTTTCCAGGGAAAATATTGATGTTTTTCAGGAATGCATATAATCTAAAATAGATGATGGTCTGATTCAAACATGTAATCTACACGAGAAGCAAGTTTTAAGGCAGGCATGAAGATAATTTATGAGAGGAAGTAAAGACCATGTTGAAGGTAGGCACTTACCAGACGCAGCAACTTGGGAAAGAGGTCCCGTATGGCACTGTCCAAAAACCAAAAGCCAGAAGAAGTGATTGGTAGTTCATGGTTAGCTAGCTTTTCTTCCTTTTGGGGCTTCTGCTTCTCCTCCCTCTTCTCCCCCCTGAGTAGCTCCCACACACATTGCACTGGCATCTTCTCCAGAGTCAGAAGAACCAACATTGGGGGCCCAGAGTTCATGGCTTTTTCCTCTCCTTGCCTGTATCTTTTCCTCAGAATACCCACAAAAGAATCTGCATGAGCAAGGCACTAGGTAGGAGCCCAGGGCTCTGCCACCTTGTTAGATATACAGTGTCCTACAGGATGCTGGAACAGGAGTGAGGGAGGCAGGCTCAAGACTCAAGAAATGGAAACATGGGGATGTGGTAACAGAAATGAAGTTAAAGTAACGTGTGGGAGATGTTGGGGAGTCATAAAAGGGAAGAAACAAAATAGAAGAGACCCAAAAGGAATGGGAGATGATCTGTCTGGCCTAGTGCTAGATGTCAGGGCTTATAGGTAGGTGGGTAGGTAGGTAGGTTAGTTTAGTGGTAAGTAGGGAAGGAAGAAGGGAGGGATAGCGGCCCCTGGGAGGTCTGTCTTTCTGTCTCTTCAAACTCTTCTGCTCTCTGCAACCCAGTGGCAGCCCACTTTTGGATTTTTGATCTGGGAGTTCATGTTTCCCTTCAAGGAGGGTAGCACTCCCAGCAATGGGACAGAAAAAGTTATGTCCATGTCAGCATTACCTAGGGTCTCAGCCTTCAGCCTAGAGCAGGACAGCCTTCAGGGCAGCTTGGGACAAATAAAGGACAGTTGAGAGACAAGAAGAGCAGGCTTCTCTCAGTCCAGGAAAGGGGAAATGGTGTAATTGGGATGCTGCATGGGAGGGTTCTGGAAGAATGTGGGTGTTCTGGCAAGTGATAACCAGTGCAGATTAGGTGGAAGGAAGAGGGACAGGGAAGAAGGAGGGAATTTCTGAGAGCATAGCTGAGCATACAGAGAAGGCAGAGCCTGTTTTCCTCCGAGGACCAGATACACCTACTTTTGCAAAAGTACATATCAAGAATAGCTCAAGCTATAAGGTAGTCAGTCACTAGAGGCAATGGTGCCTGTGATAGTTTTGATTGTGAACTTGAACTAAGGCAGAATCACCTTAGTAGGGAGTCTTAGTGAGGAACTGTCTAGACTAAGTTGGCCTTTGGCATGCCTTTGAAAGAATTTCTTAATTGGGATAAATGGTGCTGGAGAATTGTCTGTATTCTGTCAATCATGTTTTAAATAGACACTGATTGGCCAGGAAGGAAGTATAGGTGGGTCAACCAGACAGGAAGTAGAGGTGGGGCGATGAGAACTGGAGTATTCTGGGAAGCAGGAAGCTTCCTCCGCACTCCTGCCCAGACTACCGAAGAAGCAGCATGTAATCTACCTGGCTGGGAAAGGTACCAAGCCATGTGGCTAGCATAGAAAAGAACAATGGGTTAATATAAGCTACAAGAGCTAATAAGAAGACTGAGCTAATGGGCCAATCAGTTTATAATCTTATGGAGATCTCTGTGTGATTTTCTTTGGGGCTTGCTGGCTGTGGGGTATTGGTCGGGACAGAAACCCAACAAGCCGGCCCTCATGTTACAGGATAAGTCGGGGAAGACCGACCCAGAACATAAGTGGCACCATTTCACTGGCTAGGTTTTGGGCTGAATGGAAAGAAATTGTGAGCTGAGCCCTAGTATGCATTCATTAATTCATTGCTCTTTGCTCTTGACTACCGATGTGCTAGGAACAGTTGCTTCATGTTTCTAACACAGTTAACTTTGAAGCAATGATGAGCCTGCAACTGTAAGCCTGTTTCTCCCGCAAGTTGCTTTTGTGTATTTCATCACAGAAATGAAAAATGAAACTATGACAGTGGCAAGGAAGGGGAAAAGGACTTAGCAGGCATTATGTACCTTATATAGTCAGACTGATCTGAGAAGTGGCTGCAGAAGGGGTTCCCTTCCAGCCAAAGCTCTTCCAGATTCAGCTCCTTCACCTTCTCCAACTCCCAAACTGTTTTCAGCTGAAAAAGATAGAAAGGAATCGGTAAAGCTGTCTCAAGGAAAGAGAAACCTTGGGGCCTGGTGACTGCAGCCTCTCCCCTCCCTCACAGGTTTGTCTACCTGCCTTTTACCATAATCCTAATGTATACCACCACCCACGCGCAGCCCAACCCACATCTGGCTCCCCTTCTCACTTTATTTTTGGAGAGGTTCAGAATCTTAACTTGAGGAGTTTTCTCTATCATATCTGACAGACCATCCAGCTGGTGCAATTTGTTGTTGCACAAGTTCAAGGACAACAGCTTTCGGGGAAGGAAGAGTTAAAAGTATGGTTACTCTTGTAGTGCCTTGGTGACACATGTTCCCTTCATCCCATCCCTTCTAACCCTCTACTTAAACAAATGCACTGAATCTATGGTCTCACTTCAGGGATACTGCTTTGAATGATCTGTAGTGTTGCAACCATGCAGCTTCTTCGATTCAGCATCACGTCAATGTCATTGTCCAGAAAGTCTTCAGAAAATGGAACAAAAGTAATTAGAAGGCTGTCAGTGGTCTATTTAGATCAGCATTGGTACAGATAGACACCCTTTCCAAGCTGCCATCCCTATGTTTTCTTCTTAGGACGATCCATCTACCCTCACATGAGCTAGAATTTCTTTAGTCAATCATACCTTTGTCAAAGCGGAATCTCTCAAGGTCCAGAGATTTCTGAGAGGCATCATATCGTTTCATCACCGTCACCTGCAGAGGCAGAGGTAGTGAGAGTGGCTGTAAGACTGGAGTTCGGAGTGTCAGGAATGTCAAGGAGTAGGAGGAAAAAGAGGCGGGTCTGGGAAGAAGACACACAACATGTTTCGCATCTGCATTACCTTTAGCTGCTTTATTTCTTCTGAGGTGAACTTACTCTGCACAGAATAAGGTACAACAGAAGGATTGATGAAGATAGATATCTGTGAGGAGAGACAGAGAAGTACTATGATCTCTAATTCCAAAGATGATGCTCAGCTCCTGGACAGCCACCACCCTTTTCAGAACTAAGTACAGAGAATGCTGTCAGTACACACCTTTTGATTTGTCTCATCACAAAGTTTATTGTTGATATCCCTCAATGCATAAGCAGTCCTAGCATTCTGGACAAAGAACCGGGCCCGGTGTTTGTCATAGTGGAACTATGGGCAATGAAAGGGGAAAAAAAACAGAAAACAGCAGCTAGCTCCTGCTGAGCCTGGCCTCCCTCCTCCATTCCCTTGGGTTCATCTGGCTTCATCAGCCTTCTTACATCAACAGGGATGAAAGCCACACTGCAGAGGTCCTGTATTGAATTCATTAGCCATGTCTTGTCATAGTTTCTTCCATTTGGAATCTGTATTTACAAATAAAAAATGAGGAGAGAAGAGAGAGCATGAAATCAGAATGGAGAACAGACTTAATTACCAAGTTTCTTTCTGGACCTTCTTGCCAGCTTTAGAGAACTTCTAAGGGGACCTCTGACATGGTTCTTTGACTTTTGAGCTAAACACAGACTTCCATGATCAATGATTCTCAACCCGTGGGCCTCAACCCTTTGGATGTTGAATGACCCTTTCACAGGGGTTGCAGATCAGATATTTATTTACATTATGGTTCATAACAATAACAAAATTACAGTTATGAAGTAGCAATGAAAATAATGTTATGGCTGGGGTCAGCACAGTATGAGGAACTGTATGTATTAGAGGGTCCAGCATTAGGAAGGCTGAAACCCACTGTTTTCTATCCTTCTTCTCTTCATGCAATAATTTCTCCAGGTAATTGATTTGTTGTGATCATCATGATCATCCTTCTTTTAGGATCCAGAATATTCTATCTAATTCAGACCTTATTAGGATACTCACTGAGACCTAACACAGACATTATTAGGATACTCACTGAGACCTAATGCAGACCTTATTAGGATACTCACTGTGACTTTGAACCAGCTACCCAGGGTTCCATTTTCAGCAACTAGCCCCAGTTCACTCTCTACTTTATTATCTTTCCACACAGTGTCTTCATTGCTGTATTTTTTTCTTTTCCATCTGGGTCCCATGGCATAAGGAGTACTAGAAAAGAGAGAAAAGCAAAGTGATAACTAATAAATAACTTAAATCAGTTTAAGAAATTATTTTCTGAATCACCCCCTCACTAACACCATGGCTACAGTTAGCGCTGCTAAACTAGCATTCAGTCTCTACCACCTCATCCTTCACTTTTCCAGTGAAGGAAGAGCAGCCACAGCGCATGAAAGAGTCGCACAATCCCAGGGGCTGCCACTTGCCAAGTAAGCTACTTGGCTACAAACTATGTTACTCGGAAGTCCTCCTGGACATCCCTTATTGCCATGTTTTCACTATTCTCTTGGAATTTTGAAGATACAAGCACATACCCAGGATGCTCAAAATGATAGTTCTTTCGGCCAAATTTATGCCTGCTAAAATGCAAACTTGTCTTTCTTCTATAAAAACCGTGGTTGTCATTCATGTTGTATTCTGAAATTGGAAACAAGTTTGAAGACACATCACCGTGTTTAATATAATATGAGCAATTTATCATTGCGAACCAGATATGTATGCTTTCCCTCTGATTAAAAAAGCTATATTATTTTCCACAATTCCTCCACCTTCCCCCAATGCCAGGCTCCTCATCAAATAAAAATTCAGGTACAAGGACTAATTATCCATTTCTTCTTCTTCTTTTAAAAATCATTTTGATCTGGAAGGCAGAGTATGTTGAGTTGAGACCACCCAAAAGGGCAATTAGTTCTAGTCTTAGGGGAAAAAAGACATTTTGGTGGGTGGAGGAAGATGGAAGCTGAGTGTTATCTTACAGTGATAACTCCCACAGACATACTGAGTTGAACAAGTGTTAAGGCACAGCACTGCTAGAACGGATATTTAAGATAACCGGGTGAGATACCATAGTGCCTGCTTTTAGTTTAAAAACATGAAGCCATGCACTGAAGAAGAAAAGCACTATCTGCAACTGCTCTCCCCCATGTCCAAGAAGCCCAACATGAAAAAGAGGCCTTCTGACTGGTGAAAGAGAATTATGTTCAGGTCTTAGAAGTGAAATGCAATATCTAGCTAACTAACTTAGAATCTATTGTTGGTCAATGACCATACTAAACTTTACCAAGAAACCAAGACTTCTGTCCCGAGGTATAAGAATAGTATTGTACCATAAAGTAAAAGGACTGCCTCAACTAACTCTTCTTCTGAATGGGGAGCAAAAACTAACCTACTGGGTACTTGGCATGAAAGCTTGCTTAGGGTTTTATGTAAGAGCCAGTCCTAGCATGACAGAACCAACCTCACCATGTAAAGATGCTAGGACTTTCAAAAGAAGCCATTCCACACTGGCTGTCTGCCATTAGTCTCGCCCCCAGTCCTGTAGCAGACCGCTGGCAGGAGTCTGACTTTCCCACCTACCTCCAGTCCCTGTCGACTCCACTGAACTTTAAAGGAGGCCTCAGCTTTGCTCCTTCTTTCCATCCCCTTGTGTCAGCTACAGATTCTCAACTATCTGGGACCGCCAGTGGCCACACTTGGCAGAGACTCATGTAGGTGACTCACACCCTCTTTCCTTTCCTCCACTACCTCTCCAGTCTCACCTTCAGTCCAGTGACAGCCTACTTCAACTCCACCCACTGGAGACTCCAGCTCTTGGTTAGACCCAGGGCTCCCCTAATGCTTTTAGGCCTGTCTTTCCAGATAATTGTTTGCCTTTCCCTAACAAACATACAGGATCTCCTCTTCCCACCACAGCCCCAACTCCCTGTGGACTCTAGCCCCAGGTATGAACAGGATCTTATTAGCTCTTTCCTGAAGCCCCTCTCAGTCTTCTCTCCTAGGCCACCTCATAAGGACATACTTTAAAAATCTGTACTCCAACAAACTGAAAAAAAACTAAAATAAATGGAAATCAAAAGGAAATACAGAGAGCCGTAAGGACATATTTTAAACATCTGTACTCCAATGAACTGAAAAAAAATCTAAAATAAATGGATAAATTTCTTGACGTATACAACCTACCAAAGTTAAATCAAGATCAGATATGCAATTTAAACAGACTCCATAACCTCTAGTAAAGTAGAAGCAAAAATTAAAGCTCATCAAACCAAAGCAAACAAACAAAAACAGGGAGAGAAGAGTCAACACAGAATTCTACCAGACCTCCAAAGAATTACCACCAACATTCTTCAAGTTCTTCTGAAAAATAGAAACAGAAGGTACATTTGTCCAATTCTTTTTACAAGGTCACAATTACCCTGATACCTAAACCATGCAAACACCCAACAAAGAAAGTGAATTATGCACCAATTTCCTTTATGAACATAGATAAAATTCTCAATAAGATACTGGCAAATCAAATCTAAGAACACATCAAAAAGATAATTCACCAAGATCAGGAAAGCTTCGTCCTAGAGATGCAGGGATGGTTCAACATACATAAACAGATAAATATAATCTAAAGATTTAATTTTAAAAATTAACTTTTTTTCTGTTGGCTTTTTTAAATTAATGGAATTTTAGCTAAAAGGACCAAGGAAAGTGAAAAAAATGTTTTTGAAGACTACTATACTATGTTAAAAATACTAAATATACATACATTTGAGAAAAATACTCCTTTATCACATTCCATATAAATTCCTATAATATGAATATCCTTTCACCTGAATGACAGGATGGCTCAGATTTCCTGTAAGATAGAGTCCACTGTCGTTGCTGTAGCTCAAAATCAGTGTTGTGCAGAACAACCGGGGAAGGCCTGTGATAAGAGAAAAATAAAAGTGGTGTGTTTGCTAATAAAATATCACAAACTAGAATGCTTTCCATCTTTAATACAATATTTATATTTATTTTATCTTTTATACAGGCTCCCTCACCCATAACCCTGGCTGTCATATACTATATCACTATATACTCCTTCCTGGTCTCAAATTGCCAGCAATACTCTTGGTTTTTGCCTCTCAATCACTGGAATTTACAGGCATGGGCCATCAACCACATCTAACTTTAATACATTTAAATATCTCAAATCCCCACAACAGTAGCACTATTTAAAGCTATTTTAATATGTCTCACTAATAATTTTACTTAATAAGCTTAAAAATATGCCACTAATGATACATAAAGTTATAGAGAGTGTTTGCAAGAGGCAATGAAATAAGTGGTGATCAGAAACTTGGGGGAAGGAGAATAAAGGGTCTGGCTGGAGCTTAAGAAAGTTGGATTTCCCTAATCCAATAAGATTACAGCATACCACGCGCACTTTGAAAAACAACTGAATTTCAAGTAACATTCAGAAACAAGCTCTACATGTTTACACTATGGCTAGGTTCACATTCACAATACTTTAAAAAGTCGTTCTTTCTCTCTTACATTAATCAAAAAAGAGGCAGAAAGGAAGACTGGATTTGGAATGATCCCTAGGTACTGACATTTAAGAAGTCGAGCACTTGGGAGGTAGAGGTGTCACTTCCCTGTGAGTTTGAGGCCAGCCTGGTCAACAGAGCTAGTTCAGGACAGCCAGGGCAACAGAGAGAAACCTTGTCTTGAAAAACAAACAGACAAACAAAAAATTAAAACAAAACAAAAGTTGAGCAAAATAAGTCGGACTCAGAAAGACAAATAGTACATTTTCTCTTAATCAGAATGTAGATAAAAACACATGTATGCACACACACACATACAGACAAACATACACACACACGAAAGAAAAGCAGAGAAACTATTGAGGGAAGAGGACTAAAACGAGGGAAAAAATGAAAGATAATGGGGGTACGAAAATTTCTGGGTGTTTTCTCTCTCAAAAAAGAAAAAAAAAACAGAAGAAGGAACTGAGATGAGGACAGGGCAAAGAAAAAAGGGGAATGATAAACATGAACAAAAATTCCTAAGAGGAACTGTTAGTTTTACAAGCTAATTTTTTGTTTTGTTTTTCGAGACAGGGTCCTCTGTAGCTTTGGAGCTTATCCTGGAACCACGCTGGCCTGGAACTCACAGAGATCCACCTGCCTCTGCCTCCCGAGTGCTGGGATTAAAGGCACGCACCACCAATGCCCGGCTTCCAAGCTAATTTTGAAAAGATGTACAGACAAAAAAAATCACACAGTGATAAGGAAAAGCTGAGGCTACCGAGAGGAAGGCATCCTCCTGGTGCAGCAAGGCCCTGAAAAGACTGCTAAAGTTTGAATTGCTGCTGCTGCCCCCTGGCTCCCTGACAAGCTTTTCCTGCCAAGGCTTCGCAGCTCCACTCCCATCCTGTCCCAGACTGAGGGACTGAGCCTCTTCACCTCCCCACCGCGGTCTGTCCTCAGCACTTCCCCCCCCTCCCCTCAGCACCGCTTTGCCTCTCCTCCCTCCCCACCATTGCTTCACCTCTAGTGCGCGGCTTTTCTTTCGGTGGCCAATTCGTCTCCCCTGGGAGACTGCTCCCCTCCCCGCTCCCTGTGCCGCCCCCTTCCCCTGCCGCTTCACCTCCGCAACTAGGGTTCACCTCTCCTCCTGACCCTGGCCACCCCACAGGGGCCCGCTTCTCCTCTCCCGCCCACCTTGTTTCCTCACAAAGGCTTTCCCGTGGCGTCTCCCCACTGACGTGTCCTCACGCCCTCCCCCGCCCCTCCCCGCCCCCCCCCCTGCCACCTAAGACAAGGCCACTTGGCGCCTTCCCCTGTCCCCCCCCCCCCCCCCCCCCCCCCCCCCCCCCCCCCCCCGCCACCGCTCCTGAGGCAGTCACTTCGCCTTCCCGCCAAGGCTCTCATCCCAACCCACTACTTCGTTTCCTCACTGTGTCCCCTGGCTGCATGCAGCTCGCCTAGGTCGAGGTAGTCTGTCACTTAGCCTTTTGGGTGGCCTTTGCTTTCCCCGCTTAGCGGCTTTGCCTCCTTGAGGTGGCTTCGGCGCTATCGCTGCCAAGTGTGCTTTGCCATCGCCGCTTTGCCTTCCAAGTGGCTTTCCCCACTCACTTCGCTGTCAAATCCTGAGATCCTGAGATGGTGGGTCCCTGCTGCGATGCCACCCTGCCACCACTTTTCCTCCCCTCCATGGCTGCTTGTTTGTGCTCTACTCTCTCGCCGCCTTCCCGCCATTTCCCTGCCTCCCAGCTTCCCACCTCAGCTCTGAGGGTCACCACCACAGAATTAGACCTCCACTGACTCCTGGATGAGAGTCCTGGCCACCTCACACAATGACACAGGGGTTCTCTGTCATGAGAGGTTAAAGTTCAGTCACATTCATATTTGCCTCTAAAGAAACCCCTCACCTCGGCATCTCAGCAGGTTATACCCAAACAAACCCATAGAACCATCTCGGCCTTCCACCAGAAAACCACTTACCCCATCATCAGGGAGAGAAAGGTTGGCGAGAAAGCTGAGAAAGGAGCTCACCATACCTGACTTTGAAACGACTTAATTCAAACTGTACCTAGAGATGAATCCGGAAGGAATCGTAGCTCGCTCTAAAATTTCCCTCTTCCTCAGATCTGCCGAAGCCACCATCAATATAACTTAAGACCGGAGCTTGGCAATTATTCTTAGAGATGTGAGTAAGACTGAGGAAACCCCAGCAGTTTCGGCATCCTACCTGTTTTTCAGATTCTTGTCCGAGGAGGATCACATCACCCGAAGACTGAACGGCCACTCCGTCTAGCCTCGTGCTTGTGAGCGTGCTCTGTTTTCAAATGCCCAAGAGAGCTGTGTATCACGTGACCAACTCGTTAGCAGCCCGTGACCAACTCGTTAGCAGCCCGTGACCAACTCGTCACTTGATAGCTGAGACCCACGTAATCACAGCGTGCTACGTGACCATAAAACTCGGAATCAGCCATAGAATACATTTGACTCAAGCTGCTTTGACATATTTCTCAGCCCTGTTATGGTTCAGAGCTTCCTGGCTGCTGGACGTGGTGGAACATCTGTACTATAACATATAATTTTTATTTAAGAAGATCAAACCCAGGTAGTGGGTCTTTAATCCCAACACTCTGGCAAAGGTTAGCGGGTTTCTGTGAGTTTGAGGCCAGGCTCTCCTACAAAGTAAAACCCTCTCAATAATAACAGCAGCAGCAGCAGCAACAACAACAATAATAATAATAATGCCACTGACGTGTCCTCAAGCTCCTGCCACCCAAGACGTGGGCCACTTCGCGCCCTCCCCTGCCACCCCCCTCCTGCGGCAGTCACTTCGCCTTCCCGCCATGGCTTTCATCCCACCCCCACTACTTTGTTGGGGGTATGAAGACAGAGTCTACAGGACCTTAAAATGAGAATGTAGAGCGCTTGGCATGTGGAAGGTCGATATTCTGCACCCACCACAGAGACAGACAAAGAGAAAGAGAGACTGCATATATAACTTAAGGTCTGAAGCTTTTACATGCTGGTACCCTGTAATAGACAGACATGTGACAAAATAATAAGTGTGAGCTGACCTTTTAGCCCCTATTCCCCATGCTGGGATACCTCATCCAACCTTGATGCAGGGGGAGGAGCTTGGTCCTGCCTCGACTTGACATGCTGTACTTTGATGATGCTCTGGGAGGCCTATCCCATTCTGAACATAGGAAGAGTGGATGGGGGTTGGGGAGAGGGAACAGGAAGAGAGGACGGAGGGGAAATTGGTTGGTATGTAAAATAAATGAAAATATTTAATTAAAAAAATAAGAATGAGCCCCAGAGCGCTATGGTGACTGAAAAAAACAGATCTACTGCATAATCATATCAGCACACAAGGAGAGACAACATAACTAGTAGATGTAATTTTAGTGCCAGCAAAATGGTATTATCCATGGGACCTATAGATTTAGGAACCCACAATGCTTAAGGCAGTGTGTAAAGAAGTTTATATTGTGTCTATATGAGTTTGGGCCTGAAGTATGAGAGCCTGAATCAGCCTCCCACATTGGGCTAGCTACAAATATTAGACATAGAGCTTCTGCATCATCTATCATATCATCTGACCTGGGCAGAGGGTTGGACTGTGTGTGTCCTTGTGTGCAATTTTCCCAGTCTATCGCTGAATCAATAGGCCAGTCTCTGAAATGCAATCTACATGGTGTGACACCAGCTCCAGTTAGGAAAGATGGGGCAAATGAAGATTCTAAAACATTTTTTTAGGACATGTAGTTAAAAAAAAAACAGAGGAAACTTCAATATGAGACATGCACTCTATTTTTTAAATTTAGCTTTGTTTTGTTTCATAGTTTTGAGGATCTAATCTGGAGCCTTGCACATGCTAGGCAAGTGGTTTTCCACTTCTCTGGCTGTTTTCCCAAGCACCTCAGCTCTCAAGTCAAATAAACAACCTCCCCTCTCTTGTCACCTAGTGGTGTTATGCAGTAGCAAATACCAATCCTCCACAGGCCAAGCACTCTACATTCCCAGTTTAAGACCCTGTAGTTGTTGTCTCCATGTACACACACACACACACACACACACACACACACACACACGTCAGATGTAATGGGAGATCCCACAGAGCATTACAGCTGTTTGATTCCAAAGCATTCGCACCTGGACTTTGATCTTCCTTCTGTGACCGCTACTACCTTTTGTGTCTGCTACATTCTGTTTGAAATATATAAATCTTATCTGAGTGTTTCCTAAGAGGTTCAAAGCCTATGCAAAACTCGATTGTGGGAGGACTCAGAAAACTGAGATGTCCTGTGACTGGGAATTACTTTGGCATTTGACTTTTTGTGTCGGAGGTCTTTGGGAGTGGTAGCAGGTGACCACTAGTGTTCAGATGTCAACCCACCAGAGAAATGATTCTCTGATGGAGGAGAATCCTATCCAGGCAGGGCCTACAAGTCCATTGTTTCTGGAAACTTGCTCCTTTGCTCCTGTCTGCAATTTCACAATTACTAAAGCAGCAATGGTGTCTCCCCAAAACTTGCACTTCAATGTGTAATTTCATATGGTATGTATGTGTAATCTCATGATTGCATCTCAATATTATGAGCACATATGTCTGTGGGTGGTCAGGAAGATGACTTCTCATTAAACTGTATAATTTTGATATATTATGAAAATACATTAGGGTATGCTTAATAACTAAATCTATTGTCCCATGAGGACTGTAAGACACTTAAAAGCCTGCTTTGTTTATTTTTACTCAAACTGCACACAATTAGCTCCTTTTTACCTCAGAGCAAGTTCAAGCTGGGCAAAAGGCTTTCTGTAAATGGATCATAAGCTTAAAACCTTACAGCTGTGCACAAGATCAGAGTCGTAGATGTCTAACCAAAGTTATTAACACAAAACAACCAAAATATTCATGCCAATTCTTTACGTGCCAAGTCTGGCTGATAAAAACCTATGTTTCACAGCTTGCCTCACCGAGCACTGTGCTCCCGATTTCTGATCACAGTCTTACACCAGAAACCTTGAAACCTTGCATCGCCATGGTAAATGGCTGTCCTTATCATTTACCCAAGGAATGGGCTATGAATGGGATGTAACTCTTGTAATTTTTTTCTTATTGCCTCAAGCCTCTTGTAAATAGTGTATTTAAGCTAGGTAAATAAAGAAGCAACGGAGAATTGGAACTAATGAGTTCAGATAATAACTAATGTGGCTACAGAACTGAAACCCATTATTCCATCTTGACCTGCTCACTGATGCCCACTTTAAGTATCTGCTTTCTTTGGAAAAAGGAAAAATGTGGGAGTTTAGCTTTTGAGATAGCTATACATTGTTTGCAGTTTTATTCATAACCTGCAGCTTGGCCCCTAATGATGTGGGAAGGTCATATGTCAATCTGTTGATTTCATTGGTTAATAAAGAAACTGCCTTGGCCCATTTGATAGGCCAGCCCTTAGGTGGGTGGAGTAGACAGAAAAGAATGCTGGGAAGAAGGGAAGTGAGCTCAGATGCCTTGCTGCTCCTCTCCAGGGCAGATGCGATGGAGCTCCAGCCCAAGATGGACGTACACTAGAATCCTTCCTGGTAAGCCATCACCTTGTGGTGCTACACAGATGATTTGAAATGGGTTAATCAAGAAGTGAGAGTTATCCAGTAAGAGGATAGAGCTCATGGGCCAAGCAGTGTTTAAATGAGTACAGTTTGTATGTTGTTATTTCGGGTGTAAAGCTAACCTAGCAGGAACTGGGTGGGATGAAAAGAAGCCCGCCGCTCCTTCAACACCCTAATTGCCCAAAACAAGAGAGTTTCCATTGTAAAAATGGGGGTAACGCATAGGCTTCCTGGAAACACACACACACACACACACACACACACACACACACACACACACATCCTTCCCAAGGAATATGCAATTAAAAATGTAATCCAATGACCATAATATTAAAAGTCTAGAAATTCCTTAAGAATGATTCTGACCTTTGAGAAACAGGGAGAACCTGGGGAATTAAAATCTGTGCCACAGGAAGGGGCCTACTGGGATAGATTTATTATCCAGATTAAAAAACCATGCCCAGACCTTTGGGTCCGAACGAAGATCTCCTACCTGTGCCAAGGTCCTGGCCAACTCTCTCCTCCAAAAAACACACCTGGGGCAGGAGTTTCACCTCTTACTGTCTGTAAAGCTGAGGGATTCCTCTTCTCCCTTTCCTACTCTTCATAAGCTCCTACACTTAGTTAATCATCCCCAGCCAGAAATTGGCCAGAATTGTTGGTTATACTATGTACTACCTGGCCCCAATAGTACATAGGGATAGGAACTAACCAGACTGTCATTGACTGACAAAACTCACTGTGATTAAGGGCAGCTCAAATTAACATTAATTCCTCTAACATAACTTAGAAGGGGCTGTAACTTGTCTACTATCCAAAACCTTTAACCTAGGCACTTCCCTTATCATAATTCCTGCTATTCTGCCTTGTGAGTTAACTCATTTGGATAACAATGGTATTACGGGGCCCCTGAGACAAATTGGTGTACATGTACCAATGGTTTTACCAAATATGCTTCTTCTGATGCTTTCTAAACTAAATGTGGTGCTTTGAATAAGAATGGCTCCTATAAGCTCACATATTTCAATGCTTAGTTGTCAGGGAGTGGCACTATTTGAGAAGGATTAGGAGGTGTGGACTTGCTGGAGGAAGTGTGTCACAGATTCAAAAGCCCACACCAGACCCAGTATCTTTGCCTATGGAACAGGATGTAGCTCTCAACTACTGCTCCTGTGACTGTCTGCATCCTACCATGCTCCCCACCATGATGATAATGACTAAATAATTGAAAATGTAAACAAGCCTCCAATTAATTTTTTTTCTTTTATAAGAGTTGCCTTGGCCACAATGTCTATACACAAAAATAGAACACTGACTAAGACACTGAGCCCTTTTATGTGTCTTAGTACACATTCCTCCCAAGCTATACCTATATAATGGAGAAGAATGGAAAATACATTGCAATATGGAGTCTGAAATACAAAAAAAAGTCCTCATCTTATTCCTGGTCGAACCTGGCTTAGCCACCTTAATAGCTAGCTAGCTGCAGGAATACCAGCCTATATTGTGGAAGATTAAAATGTTAAAAA